AAGTCCAAACCATCTCTTGTGCTGGGAACCACTTTGTTGCGTCACCCGTTGGTTATCCGGCCGCGCCGAGGAAGGGGAGAGAGGGGAGGAGGAGGAGGAGGAGGAGGAGGGGGGGGAGGGGGAGGGGGAGGGGCCCGGGCTCGTCGATACCCATTCCTCAATAATTAAGTTGAGAAGACAAGGGTTTCGTAAACATGGTGTTGGCCAATGCAATGGCCGGCGCGCAAACAAGCGTGCAACGCCCTTCTCTACATCGTTCCGAAACATTTACTCTTCCGCGACGCCGAGTTATTCTAGAATCCAATAGGAGAAAGATACACAATCGGCCCGGAAGGCGATTCTGGCAACGAGAAACTTTTTCTCATTCGAAGGATCAGGCTGCATCAAATGAAGCTGAAAGCAGGCCGCCAAAGCCCTCAACGGCTCCAGATGTTTGAGACGGAGTGATATCGATCCTGATTATAGGATACTGTGTCAATTATCTGCACGGTTTGGACCTCAAGGATACGCACGTCTATGCGTCCTGTAGAGAAATCTACGATACTGTACACACAACATGTGCACACACATAAGGCGTTACACACAGATACTGCACTGTACCATAGTATTGTTCAACATATACTGCACACGATGCTTGCTGTAGAACTCCAATTGGATACTGCAAGCAAAGCAGGAAAGTCTGTGAATCACTTCTTCCTACACGTCCCTCACGCCCATATCTTCGCACACGCTATTGTAGAATCAGGTTGTCTTTTGCTTTGATACTTTACTTGAACGCCGTTGGCGCGGAAGACTCGAGAACATATTTCTAACCTTTCGGTACTGCCAATGATTGCGGCGATAGCAACCTTTTATGAATGGGCTTTTAAACAAGCCCATTCCTTCGCAACTCGCTGTTTCAAAGGACTTGCAGTGGGCACACAAACACAGAACGAAATCGTCACTTGTAAAAAAATTACTGTGCCGAAGGTTTTGGTGTACAAATGGGGCAAATCCAAGAAATGACACTCGTAGATCCATTCATTTTATACTTTTGCAACTAAGTTGTAGATAAAAGTCACGAAGAGAAGCAATCAGCACACTGAAAATATTGCATGAACTGCGAATCAATATCAATAGCACAGTTGATATGTAATTGATTGTTACTAACATGAGACAATGATGTGGTAGCCATGGATTGGCATTGCCATGCGCCATGGGGCGTAAAGTATCGAGTCACTTGTGAGCATTTCGGGAAAACATTTAGCTGCCCCGCTATCTTAAGTGGGATGCGCAAGCTCTCGTTCCACATGACGCTGTGATTTCAAAAGCAAGCATACAACCTTAATTGAGCTCTTACGGGGGGGGGGGGGGGGGGGGGGGGGGGGGGGGGG